TAATCATGCCTACCTCCAAAAAGAAGGCTGCCAAACCACCTCTGCAGGCGTCGCATGGGCAGCTGCAACAAACCCCAGTGCCTGTAAGGCCGTTACTGTTATATCCCACAGCAAATGTAGACTGCCTGCCGCAAGTCCATCTGTCTGTGGTCGGACAGAGTGGCTGCTGCTCCCCTTCCAGTTGATCATGAACCCTAACTTGGTTAGTTGTAAGATCAACCGCGATGTCAGGAACGATGCCCATTCTCTGGACTTAGCCATGACAATGAGGTCCTTGATATAAAAGAAGACCCTCGTGCCTCAATTACACCTGGACTATTAACTGCAGCCTTTTGACACCAGGCCCAGACTGGAGGCTTAATTCTGACTAACAGCTACCAAATGGCAAAATCCCATGAAAGGCCCCAGCTATACACAACTGGGTGACAGACAGTAATGAGGGTTGACAGTCCGGCAAACCCTTAACTGTTCTTTCTCGCACACACAAACACAAGCACTTGTATTATTCTACTTTTTACTACATTTTCTTTGAAAGTCCTGTCTAGTCGCACTAACATTTTAACACTGTGATCACATGATTCAGATATTTGCAGATATCTAGTGTTGTCTTCTAGTGCCTAGTGTTAGCCTTTTGCTTATTATTAGCCTGTCATTTAAAATAAGCTGACGAGGTTGTCAGTGCGAGATAGGAATTCATGTATTTTTCTTTATTATTCTCAACCTATTTTCTTTTTTATTATTTATTTATATTATTTTTTCTTAATTAAATGAGGAGGAAAGGAAAAAAAAGGAAACAAAATAATAATGATAATACAATTTCATCATTGTTTTAACCCGTCCCCAGCGGCTCGAGCTCAATCCAATGCACTCTGATGGTTCACTCTGAAGCGGGTGGTGTGGGGATGGAAGGCTAGGTGGCCGTTAATATATCACAAATACGTATATATATTTTATATACATGTGTATATACTGTATAACTGACTGATAAGCCCCCTCAAAAGATCAGGCCCTCTCCCTAGGGTCTGGGAGCTGTTTCTTTTTTTTTAAATTTTTTAAAGGGGCTCAAACCCGCACTGGGCTAGCCCCCTCCTCAAACGGTCTGGGGGCGACCCAAAGCTGGACCGATCAGTCTTTCAACAAAAAAATACAAACAACAAAAACAATAAACAAATTAATGAATTAAATAACTAAATAATATCTAACTCGGTTGACCCGGCCTGACTGATCCTACTGTCCTGTTCTGGAGCTCCCTGACGGTGCCCTGGTCGTGGTTTGCTGCCAGTGGACGTTAAAAGCATTTTCTTTTTCCGGACGTTATTATTTTATAATTTATGTAATTTGCCCTCATTTATGTACTTTCCTATGGTTTTTTTTGTTGTTTTTTTTCATCTCAAAAGGCTCAAGGACACACACGCACGCACACACACACACACACCGTTCTCCCATACACTGACTATATGATGTTTGCTGGCTTGTATGCACTGTTCTTGTCGTCCTCTTGTTGTTATGTCTATGTATTGTCTCTTGTCATGCAATAAATAAATAAATAAAAAATATATATAAAAAAGACGAGATACACACAATAATTTGTGAAACAGTCTAAAGTTATGTTAGTTGGCTGAAACATTACTTTCAGAACCCGTAATAAGGGATAAGCAAACCAGGTTTGCTACACTTCACTACATTTTAGCTCAACTAGCCAAAAAAATGTATGGTTGGGTTTTTCCTTTCACCCCTAATCCAATCTCCTGTTGTGTTTACCATTTAGAGAGTAACATGCCAGACTGTACATTTTACTGTTCTAGTGATTTTGGTGTGGGTAGGTTTTTGTGTATCTCTTTGCTTTTGTGTTTTTTGTCCTACCTCACATCTTTCTTGCATGCCATCTAACATGCCAGACTCGCAGCCTTCTTTTTCAAAATATATTTTTTTAGTTTGCTGTCTCTTCAAATTTATTGCACAATAAACATAATATGAAAAAGGGATGCTGTTGTTTCAGTGACATTAAATTGTACCTGCTGATACTGAGGATGAGGTCAATGATGGTGTCTGCTGTAACCTGCCTTCTCCCAACCATGCGCTGTACACATCAACTTATAGAATGGCACCCACAGTGCACAATTTCAAACACAAATATAGAAAAATCAATAAATTATTCAGATAGAAATACATTTTAAGATAGCACACACAGATAGCCGACTTCAATAACCCACACACCATGGCAACAACAAGTATGTTCGAGCTGTGTGCATCACTTTTTAGTGTCCCCTGGAAACACTTTCCGTTATGTGTTTCTGGTTGTGTTTTCTGTATTTGCAACATATTTCTGTATTTGTTTTGTGTATTTGTTTTCTGTATTTGGTTATGTTTTCTGTAATTGTTTTGTTGCAGTGCATTGAGCTCTCAGGGCCAGCATTCCAAGAACAATTTTCAGGAAGATGATAGAAATATATATACAGCCAAAAACAAGGACAATGAAGCAGAGCAAAAAGGTAAAACTAATCAACGATGAACAACAACATACAATATATACAGGTCAGACGGTGTCTGTACATTGCAAACAAGTGTGTGTGTGTGGCCAATCTGTGTGCCCTGGAGTAAACCATGTACTTCTCTAATAGGATTTAGGACTGTGGATGAAAACATTGTCAGGTGCACCAGGTGGCTGTGTCAGAGCTCATCTACAGCAGCTGCCCGATTCATAGCTCATCCAAATATCTACAAGGAGGCCTTGAGGTAAAAATCCAATTGGAATCTCGACTGAGGGGGCTGTCATTCTGTAGCTCAGGTGCAGTCTTGTTCCAGATTCCTCCTCTCAAGCTCCTCCACATCCCATGCTGCATCGGTCCAAAGATGGTCTTCCTAAATTAAGACTGCTAAACAGACAGAAGAGGCCAAAATGGTAGAGTTATTAAACCATGTATGTAAAAATAGCTGTAATGGTTACAACCAATAAGCAGGAAATTAAAAATGGAAGATCAGGGATGAAAAAATGAAGTCGTTTTGCAGTTTGAGATGTTCATATTGTATTGATGTTGTGTTATACAATAGCATCAATAGCCAATTTAAATGAATGGTGATATTGTTCGGCCATAAGAATACATTTTTTATTATATTGTCCTACAATTTGAATTGCAGAGTCAAACAGTCAATCATTTCAATATAATTATGAAATGTCAATTATATAGAGTTTTCAAACACAAATTTGCTTTAAAGTAATGAAATATTCAATCCATTGGGGAAAAACTGAGATTTGGATAACAGCAGACTAACTGCACATGATTCCCCATGACAGGTCTGGACCACACGTGAATTGTGTTCGTACCCAAGAGAAAAATTCTAAATAGTAAAAAAATGATTATTGCAGCAAGTTCTCCTGAATTACTCGTACAAGCAACTTAACAACAAATCTGTTGGTATTAGTTCTTTCAAGAGGCCCATTGAGTGTCAATGAGAAATAAGAGAGAAAATATATGAGGCAAAGCTTAGTGGTATTGACCCAGAACTCTGATATGCATTACTATGTGATTCGACCAGCCCAAAATCTGCAGATTAAGTGCCAGGCCAAGTTGTGATGATGTTATGGTCAGGCTTCAGCCCAATGGCCTTCAGTTGTCAGAGGGATACAACTTTGGACTGTGACTTCCAAGATAATTTCCAAGATAATTGTTATACACAGCATACACCGTACATACAGCTAGTATCCCTGTTTGGGTGTCCAAATGGTGTCTGTCAGTTTGTTTCCATGAATGTGTGTGTCTGTGGAATTTGGTTAACCAACTAAAAACGAACAACCTCTTCCAACTCAAAGCGGACTTTCAAAGCAACCTTATGGCTAAATGTTTGTCTAATCTATAATGCTGACCTCGTTTCAGATGTCACAAGTGAAAGGAAGACTGTGCGGTGTGCAAACATGCTTACCTCACAAAGGAAGCCAGATTCCTGCACTACACTTGCAGTAAAATAGCACAACACCTACAAAAGGACACTTTGTCATGCAGGCTATTATATATACAATGTGGTGTTAATTGCGCAGATAGCGGACTTCGATCCATGACTGCCAGCTCTGGATGTTTGGCTATTCTCACCTGCCACAATCAGTGTCTGATCGATAGTGGTAGAGGAATTTCTCAATCAATTTTTGATGAAAAGCAGAGAAAAGCAGCAGCCTTGAGAAGCCTGTATTGGTATCACATCCTTGTACTTAAAAAAAAAAAAAAACAAGCTGCAAACATTACAGATGTTCTTATATTGATTCTGTTTAGAGTGGTTATGTCTTGCAGTCACTAACACATACAGTACATCTACTCAGAAGTCATTAGAACCACTTGTTTTCACATACAACGTAAGAGGAAAAAAAGTGCTCTTCACATTCTTTCATCTTGAAGCATTATCAACAAAAGAGGTCTTTGATTTGATTTGCTGTGTCTTGATACACTGTAAAATCTAATTAGTTAACCTTACTTAAAAAAAACCATGCAAACCGATTGCCTTGAACAAAGCAAGTAAAGGTACTCATTTCATTCAAGTATTGTTGAATAGGTATTGTATGTTGTACTAACAAATGTTTTTTAAGTGTAGTACACTTACACTTGAGTTTCAGTAACTAAAAAAATGAGTGAAGAGGACTTGAAACTTTACTTAAGATGTACTCTTGACATAGTAAAGCCTACTCAGAATTACTATTTCAAACAACTAAATAATTTCAAGTGAAATATACTTTGTGTGTATTCCAAGCAACACATTTATTTAAGTCAAGCTAACTTATGTGACATTTACTGCTACTTAATATTTCTCACTTGTATTTACTTGAACAATAAAATCATTTACTTGGTAAAACCATGCAAACCGATTGCCTTGAAACAACCAAGTTCATGTTACTCGTCTAATTTCAGTATGTCAAACATCCTTTAAACAATAATGAAAAACAGGTTCCATTGTCTTCAAACAATCACATTTACAGTTACACATAATAAATCAAGGTAGTGACACAGTTCAAAGTTCTAGTATATGATCTTTTTATTTTAACATTAGGATTTGGTTCAGATAAAAACATTTTGTAAAATGTACTATTTGATCATCAAATAGACGTGTACTGGAGGTTCTATATTTCACAGAGGAACAACTTTTTCACAATAGCAATTTAAAACACCAAATGCTCAGCTATGTTACACTACTTTGCCAACTCACTGCTATAAGAGTATTGTGAACAATGGAGTCTGCTGGACTGTCTTTTTTCCCCCCATCAGCCTACATATGCCAGCATCAAAATCAGTAATGGTACAGTTAGCTGCCATCAACACTTGCCAGCTGTAGTATAAGTTGGGCTTTATAAAAATAAATGCAATTATAATCCAACCCTGATCTTTAACCTAACATACAGTCCTGAAACAACGCCGTTAATACTGTAATAGCTATAAAACGTTGTTGATTGACCAAACTTGGTAAAGAACCAACGGGCTGACAACTACAAAGTGGCTTCATTCAGTTAGCAGAACAGTATGAAAGAGAAAGGACTCTGGCATTGGATCACACACACTTTAACATACACCGGCAGCCTCTGGACATGACTTGCTGATGAATCCATGGGCTAACTATTTGAATCGAGTGCCTTAATTTAGTTAACATAACAAAAAGCAACTGAATCTAATGCCAAACGTCAACACCTTTATACAGTAATTTACGTTCTAACTATTTTTAAGAGTTTGCAGTTTTGGTGGGAGTTTGTCTTGTGCCAAGCATCACTCTTTGAACGAAGTTGAAAGTGTTTTTCATGGCTTTAGGGTATTCAGTCCAAGTGTAAAGAAAATGAAAACCCAAACAAGAGGCAAAGTGCTTGAGGTAGGTTCAGGAGATCATCCATTACAATACCTTCCTCAACAATGATGGAAGTAGACACTGGATCAAGGTGGAGTTGATTTGGACAGAGGGACATCTTCACTGATGTTCGTCAGCACCCCAACAGATACTTGTGCCCAGGCATCATCCCTGTCAGAATCCTGTGTAAGACCAAACAGAAACAACATTACAACAAGGAAATATAAATTGTCACTGTGTCATAAGTCCTGTGTACGCTGCCTTCCAGCCTTGCCCATAACGTTTTCCTTTCACACACACACACACACACACCTGCATTTAGTAGTTGTATCCACATTAGTGGGCCTAAAACAGTTTTTACCAGTTTACAGATGTCCAGTAAAGAAGATGAAAGAAATTAAGTATTGAAGTCTTCCTCACACTAAATTGTCTTTGCCATCCTCGTTAGATTGTACTAGCTAGTGTATTCGAGGGAGGGATATGATCTACCTCTTGTGCATTATACACAACCGGAGATGGCAAGCAGGCTTAGCACCGTTGAGCTGGGCTCAGCAGTGCAACCCGGTGACATGGACTGCGAACGGAGTTAGTTCAATATATGGCTGCTTCACCTTATGGGTGATGCTACCAGCCTAGCTCATGTGAAGCCAGGAAATACACCTTTATCCATATGCATTATTCGACAGTAACAGTAGAGACAGAAATGGCAGGGATGAGAGAGGCAATGACATGCAGCGAAGGCCTCCGTCCAAATCAACCTCCGGCCGCTGTGGTTGGGACTCAGCCTTGCTGTGATACGCCTTGAGGCATTATGTTTATCTCAGGATCACCTTGAGGGAATTTCTTCAAATTTGGACCAAAGGTCCACTTGGACTCAAGGTCGAAATTTGGTGGTCAAAGATCACAGGTCACCGTGACCTCACAAAACACGTTTCTGGCCATAACTCAAGAATTCATATGCTAATTATGACAATTTCACACAAATGTCTAGGATAAGATGTAACTATGAGAACTTACAAAGCAGGTGTGGTAGAAGTGACTGGGGTCATCACCAAGTACAACAGGGAGGCCTCTGAGCACGAGGGTGCACATTGCTGTCACATCTGGTTTCCAGAAGTGGATAATTAACAAAATAAGTTCAAGATTATGTAACATTCAAATCTGACAGTACAAATATGTTTGTCAATGTTACAATGAAACAAGTGTCACCAGAATGTTTGTTTGACAGTACGGACTCACCCGTGAATCAATTTGCTGCACAAACTCAGCAGATGTCTCTCCAACACTTCAGTTCTTGGACTTGAAGATTGTGACAAAGTGCGGTGTTGTGTAGTGGTCCACAGCATCAAAAAAGTCATTCTGCAGGTTTGTGGTGGCTCCAGTTAAACTCTGCAAACACCTAGAACACACAGAAAAAAAACATCCATCCATCCATTTTCCTCCGCTTATCCGGGGTCAGGTCGCGGTGGCAACAGGCCAAGCAGGCTGACCCAGACTTCCCTCTCACCGGCAACATGTTCTAGCTCATTCTGGTGGATCCCGAGGCATTCCCAGGCCAGCTGGGAGATGTAATCCCTCCAGCATGTTCTGGGTCTTCCCCGAGGTCTCCTCCCAGTTGGACGTGCCTGGAAAACCTCCAGTGGGAGGCGTCCAGGAGGCATCCTAATTAGATGCCCGAACCACCTCAGCTGACTCCTTTCGACGCGAAGGAGTAGCGGCTCGACTCCAAGCTCCCTCCTGATGACCGAGCTCCTTACCCTAGCTCTAAGGCTGAGCCCGGCCACCCTACGGAGGAAGCTCATTTCGGCCGCTTGTAGCCGCGACCTTGTCCTTTCGGTCACGACCCAGAGTTCGTGACCATAGGTGAGGGTAGGAACGTAGACCGAGTGGTAAATTGAGAGCTTTGCCTTCCGGCTCAGCTCCCTCTTCACCAAGACGGTCCGGTGCAGCGCCTGCTTTACTGCTGCAGCCGCACCGATCCGTCTGTCGATCTCCCGCTCCATCTTACCCTCACTCGTGAACAAGACCCCGAGATACTTGAACTCCTTCGCTTGAGGTAGGCACTCCGTCCCCACCTGGAGGGAGCAATCCACCGGTTTCCAGCAGAGCACCATGGCCTCAGATTTGGAGGTGCTAACTCTCATCCCCATCGCTTCACACTCGGCTGCAAACCGCCCCAGTGAATGCTGGAGGTCACGATCCGAGGAGGCTAACAGGACCACATCATCTGCAAACAGCAGAGAGGCGATCCCGAGACCCCCGAACCTGACGTTCTCCACCCCCCGGCTGCGCCTAGATATCCTGTCCATGAAAGTCACGAACAGGACCGGAGACAAAGGGCAGCCCTGGCGGAGGCCAACACCCACCGGGAACGTGTCTGACTTATTGCCGAGAATGCGGACACAGCTCCTACTGCAGTCGTACAGAGACCGGATCGCCCGTTGTAATGGGTCCGGCACCCCATACTCCCGCAGCACCCCCCACAAGAACCCCCAAGGGGCCCGGTCAAAAGCCTTCTCCAAGTCCACAAAGCACATGTAGACTGGTTGGGCAAACTCCCAGAACCCCTCCAGTAGTCTTGCGAGGGTAAAGAGCTGGTCCACTGTTCCACGGCCGGGACGGAATCCGCATTGCTCCTCTTGAATCTGAGGTTCGACAAACGGTCGGAGCCTCCTTTCCAGCACCCTGGCATAAGCCTTGCCCGGGAGGCTGAGTAGTGTGATACCCCGGTAATTCGAGCACACTCTCCGGTCCCCCTTTTTGAAAATGGGAACCACCACCCCGGTCTGCCAGTCCATGGGCACTGATCCCAACCCCCATGCGACATTGAAGAGGCGTGTCAGCCAGAACAGCCCAACTATGTCCAGCGCTTTCAGCATCTCAGGGCAGATCTGATCCAACCCTGGCGCCTTTTGACTACCTCAGCGGCCTCTGCCAGGGATATGGGTGAGCCTCCCCTTAGATCTTCAGGCGCTGCCTCCTCTGCAGATAACATGTTGGTCGGGTTTAGGAGTTCCTCAAAGTGCTCTTTCCACTGCCCGATGATGTCCCCTGTCCGGGTCCCCCCCCCCCCCCCCCCCTGCTGAGAACAGCCTGGGGTAAGCCCTGCTTTCCCTTCCTGAATCGTCGGATGGTTTGCCAGAACCTCCTTGAGGCCAACCGAAAGTATTTCTCCATGGCCTCCCCGAACTCCTCCCATGCCCGAGTTTTAGCATTCGCGACCACCGCAGCTGCAGCCCTTGTGGCCTGCTGGTACCTGTCAGCTGCTTCGGCAGACCCCTGGGCCAACCAGGCCTTGAAGGTCTCCTTCTTCAGCTTGACGGCTTCCCTCACCCCCGGTGTCCACCACCGGGTTCTCGGGTTGCCGCCACAACAGGCACCGATGACCTTCCGGCCACAGCTCCTAGTGGCCGCGTCCACAATAAAGGCTTTGAACATGGTCCATTCGGATTCCATGTCCCCAGCCTCCCTCGGGATGTGTGAGAAGTTCTTCCGGAGGTGGGAGTTAAAGACCTCCCGGACAGGGTCCTCCGCCAGATGTTCCCAGTTCACCCTCACTACACGTTTGGGCTTGCCAGGACTCTCCAACCGGTTCCCCTGCCATCTGATCCAACTCACCACCAGGTGGTGATCAGTTGACAGCTCTGCTCCTCTCTTCACCCGAGTGTCCAAGACATACGGCCGCAAATCAAATGATACGATTACAAAGTCGATCATTGATCTCCGGCCTAAGGTGTTCTGGTACCAGGTACACTTATGAGCCACCTTATGTTCGAACATGGTGTTCGTTATGGCCAAACCATGGCACGCACAGAAGTCCAATAACAAAACACCATTCGGGTTGAGATCGGGCAAGCCGTTCCTCCCAATCACCCCCCGCCAGGTTTCTCCGTCATTGCCCACGTGAGCGTTGAAGTCCCCCAGGAGAACTATGGAGTCGGTAGGCGGCGCCCTTTCCAGGACCCCTCCCACCGACTCCAAGAAGGCCGGATACTCTGAACTGCTGTTTGGTGCATAAGCACAAACCACAGTCAGAGCCTTGCTCCCCGCAACCCGTAGGCGCATGGAGGCGACCCTCTCGTTCTCCGGGGAGAACTCCAACACAGCGGCACTCAGCCGGGGGCTCGTGAGTATCCCCACTCCCGCCCGGCGCCTCTCACCCTGGGCAACTCCGGAAAAGGACAAAGTCCAACCCCTCTCCAGGAGCTTGGTTCCAGAGCCAGCGCTGTGTGTGGAGGTGAGTCCAACTATATCTAGCTGGTACCGCTCCACCTCCTGCACCAGCTCTGGCTCTTTCCCTGCTAGCGAGGTGACGTTTCACGTCCCTAGAGTTAGTCTATGCTGCCGGCGATCGGCTCGCCCAGGCCTCCCGCCTGACCCGCCGCCCTGTCTGCATTGCACCCGACCCCGATGCTTATCCCTGCGGGTGGTGGGTCCACAGGGTGGCTGCTCCATGCTGTTTATTCGGGCTGAGCCCGACCGGGCCCCATGGGCAAAGGCCCGGCCACCAGACGCTCGCCGACGAGCTCCCCTCCTGGGTCTGGCTCCGGGAGGGTGCCCCGGTTTCCCTGGTCCGGGCGAGGTGACTGAAGTCCGTGGGCTGCTTTTCATTGGGGTCGTTTTGAACCGCTCTTAGTCTGGGCTCTCCCCTGAGACCTGTTTGCCTTGGGAGACCCTACCAGGGGCTAATGCCCCGGACAACATAGCTCCCAGGATCACTGAGCCACTCAAACTCCTCCACCACGTTAAGGTGGCGATTCGCGGAGGAGGATATCTAAATCATTGATATCAATAAAAGTATTCATATAATTAGGATTATTAACAAATCTAACAATAATTGGGCACCACCCTGGGATCAGGGACCAACAAACAAAATTCACTCAAAATGTCAATCGTCAAAATACTATCCCACAGTTAGAGTGAACTGTGAAGGTTTGAATTCAAGCACAGGCCATTAAATGCAGCTATTATTTCAACACATATGCACAAAAGGTGTGTAAGGTGTGTAAGGGAAACAAAGGAGATAGAAGGAATAAGAACTCCAAAAATGGCGGTGTAGTCTCGTGAGGTCACGATTATCTAACAGGGAATAAAACACACAACAGAGGCCGTGCTTACACGCCACGTGTGTATGAAATAAGTGCAATATGTGTTTGTGAGTGTGTGTATGTGTTTGGGTTAGTTTGAGAAGAAAGGAAAGAAGAAAAAGAAGTAGGAGGCCCCCAATACAAGGCAAATCCTCACCATAGGAATAAAGTACAGTAACTGTAAAAGTTTGTGTTATCACACAGAAGCCCTACTGGTGAACTCAGATTCGGCGGCTGCGGCACTGGACCTTACAGTACAGTTTACCGACTTTACTTGTGGTGCCGGATTTAAACACAACAAAGCACAGCATCGTGGAACAACACTATCACAGCAGCAACCAGCACAACAGTGAACGGGACTCAGTGGTCCGTAAAATACACAATAGCACGGTAACAGTTAAGCTTCAACAAAACCAAACAAGGTTACAACGCTATAACCTATCTCTGCCCAGACAAAATCCTCTTACTTGAGATTGCTTCATAACGTTTAATGTGTTTCTTTGACTTTCTTTCTCAAAGTCAAAGTCAGCTTTATTGTCAATTTCTCAATATGTACCGAACATACAGAGGAGTTGAAAAAACGTTTCTCTCCAGTTCAACATATAAAGTGAATACAGATAATAAAGTGCAAATAGATAGAAAAACATTGAGACAACATATATATATTCAGAAAAACTATCATTCTGTATTTAGCAGCAGTCAGACATAGGGAGTCTTAAAAGAAAGGAGGGAGAGAGTTCAGCTTCCTAATGGCCTGGTGGACAAAGTGCTTGAAGGTCTGGTGGTGCGAGCACGGAGGCTCCAGTATCTTCTCCCAGAGGGCAGGAGGCTGAAGAGACATTGTGAGGGGTGGCTGGAGTCGCGCACAATCATGGTCACTTTGCGGGTGAGGCGGGTGTCATATATGTCCTGCAGGGAGCGGAGTGAGGCACCAATGATCCTTCCAGCTGTGTTCACTATGCGCTGCAGGGCTTTCCTGTTGTAGTCAGTGCAGCTTCCACCCAACACAGTGATACAGTTTGTAAGGATGCTCTCAATGGTGCCTCGGTAAAAAGTGCGCATGATGGGTGGGGGTGTTCTTGCCTTCTTTAGTTTGCGGAGAAAGTAGAGGCACCTCTGGGCTTTCTTTGCCAGTGATGTTGTGTTGGCTGTCCACGAGAGGTCCTCACTGATGTCCACCCCCAGGAATTTGGTGCTGCTCACTCTCTCTATATCAGCACCATTGATGGTCAGTGGTGGGTGTTGAGTGTGGCCTCTCCGGAAGTCAACAACAATCTCCTTGGTCTTGCTGTTATTCAGACGGAGGTTGTTGTCTCTGCACCATGTGGTCAGAAGGCTGACCTTCTTCC